CTATCAATCTTCACTTGTGCCTTCAGTATCAGTATTACTGCACAAAGAAGATAAAAACTGGACTGTAACTGCTAAAACATTTTCTATATTAATAAAGAGGTAATCTTAATAGGATCTACTCCCATACTTAAAAAGTGCCTTTTGAAGAAGAGCATATTTGTGAGAGCTAAAGGTCACTATATTTTATGCAAAACAACTGAAGACTTTAGTGTTGTCATGAAATTAATATACCTCAATTAAAAAAGCTTGAATAGAAAAAATTCAGATTTTTCTTAGAGTATGTGCAAGAAAAGAAGAGATTTAGAATGAAAATGTAATTTTCTCTCTATACTTTCTTTATTAAGTAGAATTGCTTTCCTTTATGTCATTCCATGAAAAGAAAGTGAGGGCAATATTAGTTGAGCTGCTTACTAATGGAGGGTGTGTGTCTTCTTCCTTAGCTTCACATGAATAACTGAGGAAAAAGTTGTGTAATCTGTTGCTGATATTTCTTTACGAAGGGGAGAGCCAAAAGTTACAAGTGAAGCCTGCCCGGACCTGAATCTGCAACTTCCTCCCACAGCCGCCTACACGCCACACTAGTGTGTCAGCTTCCTTTGGCTCCATTTAACCAGACCTAGGAGCCAACATTCCAACTATCTGTTTAGTAAGCAAGTCTTGGGGACTTCTGTCTGTGACCGACTTAAGCCTCAGCTTCTGAGTAAACACTTGGTGCCATCTGGATGACTATTTTATAACTCCTGAAAGGGATAGGTCCGCAGGAACGTATGGGTGGACGCTCGTTTTCCTCAGGAACCAAAAGCAGCGTATCGAGTGTCAAGAGGAATAGTTATCATATATTTTACAAGAGATGGCTACGCTACCTTCCCTCACCTGTCACTCTTCTGACACGGCACGCACAGGCTTAAGCTGGGGATACCAGAGAGGGCAAGCTGCAGAGCCAGCTGTGACCCTGCAGAAAACAGTCCCCAGCTTCTGCCACTAAATCCCATATTTTGACAAAGCCGCACAACAGAGCAGTAAAATCCCTCCCGTTTCTTCTCTGAAGGTTTCTTAGCTACAGTACAATTGATAAGGGAACTTAAACTTTAAAAAAACCCCCACAGATTGCTGCATAAAGTGGACATAATAAAGGAGAAAAATTCAAAATATATTTGCAGCATTTATTCATAAGACACCTGAAAAGTACTAAAGAAAAGAGACACCTAGTACTTACAGAGAAATTCAGAACATAGCAGAGAAATTAAAGGTTGCATAAAGAACCAATCATGACTTTGGACTACTCCCATGAAACTACCATCATAGATGAGGAGACAAAATAAATATGTGTATCCGGACTTGTGTAGTGTTAACTGACTCCATAGAAACATAGGAAAACTTTACATCTTTACTAAAAGGGCTCAAATATGCACATATATATGTCAAATTTACAATAAAATGCATTTGTGTGAAAAATGCCTCAATCAAACAAATATACTTAAAACTACTGAAATTACTAATTTCATTAGGATTTTACATAAAGCCTATAAACTTTTTCATATATTTCTTTTTACAGCTTAGAATATTTTGTGCTACAACGCTGTTTCTTTTCTCTAATTCTTTATGCATGATTGATGAAATCATATTAACAAGACTTCCATATGCGCCTTAAAGAAATGTACAGAAACATATTCAACTCTAATCCCATCGCTTTCTGAATTCTCTACTATTGCTGCAAGTAAGAAATTTTAAGTGTGCATGTGTTAGAATTTCAGTATGAAATTTCTGTTAAGGACATTAAACAGGATGATCCAGAGCTCTACTATTTTTTTAGATCAATGCACTTTATGAGCTATGAAATTTCTATTTCAAACTCATAAAATAATTTTTGCAACTTAAAAACCAGTGGTATTGTTTCCTCTGTTTTGCAGTTTGGTATATCCTCATGTACCTAATAGGTTGTAACAGCTGTTGGGTATTTATGAATTCTGCCATACATACTACCTCAAAGTATCCCTCATTTCATACAATAACGGCTATATCTGTCAGCTGAACACTTAAAAATACAGGTTTTTCCTCCAAGTACTGGCAACTTCACTCTCTTCTGTATTTTCTCATGTTTCCATGCTTCTCATGGTTCTGAGTTGTGGGGGATTTCCTACTCATCAGGGATGCCTGAACACTTTTAGACACAGAGTCACTGACATATTTTAGACTTTTGCAGGTACCAATAGCACAGAAAAATAAAAAAAACAAGAGTTTCTACTATTTGCTGTTACATATCCCTGTAAATTACCTACAGACAACTCTCCCTAGACCAAAGGACCATGAACCATGTTTGGAAATGACTGCAGTGAAGCAGTCTCAGTCTTTTGCCACCTTCACACTCCCTATGCTGAGGACAGGACCATGGTACAGGTCTGTGTATGGGGAGAATGTTCTGACCCTGAACAACACTGCTGATGGTCTAGTTTATACTGATTCTAGAATATACTATAGATCTCCTCAGCTTATTCCACTGATGTATGATTTCTATGGAAATTTCTAGGAATGGAAAAGCTGCACAGGGCAGCAGAGCTCTGTATAACACCATCATTTTCCACCTGTTTCACTGTGCAATTGAACTGAGGCAGAAGATCAGTGATCCAGGCCCAGCTGGAGCAAAAAGTCCCTTTTAATATTCCCTCTCTCCCTGCCCAAAAGTCACATTTTGGACTTAGCTCTAACAGTGTGTCATAATTTTCACTCCTCTTCCCTCCTTGCCCCTCAGCACAATAATTTATTTATCTTTTGCATAAAAATAAATAATTTTCAAATTAGGAAAACATAAATATGACTATAAGCAGAGGATAAATTTATGACACTATGCCTGAGTCCCAAATGAATGGAACATTTTAAAACTTTGCTTTAACTGAAACACTTATGCTACATTTTGGGTATAACAGCATGAATGGTCCTGACATAATACGTTCTCATTAAGTGACACATGGATCTTGACATTATCTGACCTACTTCTTATTCACAGCGAGATACGACATCTTGCTTTCATTTCATGATTATATATTGTAGGAGTCATGGCCACACAGAAGTCACACAAATAAAACAACTCTGAGGACTAGATTTTCCCCTAGTCACCATTATTCATGTCATTCATCTTCTTTTAGCTCTTGCCAGCAGAAACGCGTGACTATTTACAGTGGCAGGGAGAGAAAGCCTTCCTGCTGGGCCACATATTCCCACACTGTTGTAATCTGTCTTCAAACTGCTAAACCCTTATCTCTTCTCTCAGTTAGCAGCTACACAAAAACCACATTTCAGTATGTCAGTTACTAACATCCCTCTGCTTTCCAAAAATTTAAATATTTTCTTTTAAAAACTGTGAAGACAACCATCAGTGAATGTACCAACACAGAGACATCTTGCTGTGCCTGTATTGACTGAACTAAAACATTTGCACAGCATTCTATAATCAAAGAAATGCAATTTTTTAATAGTCCATTTTATGAAAGTGAATCACATCACATCACAGAAAGTATAAGTTCAGTCAATTTGAAAGCAGCTTTTGATTTTCGATATTGTACTACTGACCTCCAAGTACAATTTTTAGGAAAGATAAGTGTGCACAACTGCAGCTTAACACAATGAACCCATTCAGAAGAGGAACATATCCAAGTGCTTCTATCAGAATGGATGTCATAATTTTTCCACAATTTACATAAAAAATGCTCTTATAGCACACACAAAATAGATATCCTCAGTTCTTTTCCCTATCTTATCCTCAGACATGTCTTATTCCTATTTCAGTGATCCTTTCAAGGCCTGTAAGAATCTATCTAAAACAAAACCTATCCAATCCATCCACGGCAGTAACAATCCTATTGCAGTTTACTACTACTATTTCAATATTAACTCTTCCAACACACCTTTTGACTGTATACTCAAGAGCTGAAGGACATAAATGGACCTGTTTACCTCTAACAAGACATGAACTACAGCAAAGAGTCACTGATCTTGGGACACAGTACTAACTTATCCCCAGGAAATCAAGATACAGAATATTTAGATTTCATCATCCAAAAAACAAGTACCATAAAACATGGCAACTTAATTTTGAAGCCTTAAGAATAGAATTTATCTTTATCATATGGGGTTCTGGTTATATCCTTCCATGTTTGTAAGATCTAATGGAGAAGCTGCTATGGTCTTGCAAATTAAAAGAGTGAAAAGACAGTATATAATAATTTACATTATGAATGACAGTCCTTATGAAGTTTATTTAGGATTACATGGGTAATATGAATAGTGTAGAAGTAGTTCATAACACTGAGTTATGGGGGAAGAGCTACCGATATTGTGAAACTACAGCCTGAGAATTCGGGAGCTTCTGTCTATTTCTTTTTTTTTCATTTTTCCCGTGCTCTTTTGCACCATTCTGAATTGGTTTTATCCAAATAGACTATCCTTTATGGGAGGGCTTCTCCTTTCATTTCATGAACACAACCACTTAGAATTCAAGCAGAATTTACTTTTACAAAGTAAAACTTGCCCTGGAGAATTTTGGGGACACTTTTCTTCAGGCTTTATACATACTTGGGGCAAGGATCATTGCAAGAAAATTAAGAACATCATCCACCATCTATATAGCACTATCTAGCCAGAATACAGCCTGATACTGTATCTTAAAAGCATTAGTAATTTTTGCAAGCTTTACTGAAAAATGTTTTTCACTAAAAACAACAAGGGAATTCTTTCATTTCAACAAGCCTATACTATTTATACACAGAATAAACAATGTAATATTCTTGTTAGCATTTGGTGGGAAACAAGATGTTTTAAATGTGCTTTTTTTTATATTTACAGAATTCCTTTCACAAGCCATATAGAAAATGCTGAGGCACTCTAAAGAGAGGGAGTTGGCTCTTATGTTTATTAGGGAAAGTATTTACACTGCAAATAAGTGAAAAATGTGCAGCATTTTTTAGGGGTTTTCTTTTGTTTGTTTTTGTTTTACATGTACTCACACTCAAGGCAGCTGGTCCTGGAGGTCCTGCATCTCCCTAGTTAAAACAGCAGAGTAAATAAATCAGCAATCTCTTTAGTTAAATATATTTGACCTCTAGTCATTTTAGAGAATATGCACCACTGCAGAAGTAATTTCAGTATAATCATCGAACATGTTCATTATGAAAATGTGTGAGTAAAGGGATATTCTTTTCCAGTAATGGTAGACATATACACAGTTTGCCACAGGTTAAAGGGAAAAAAAATGCCAAGCCTCTGCATAAATGACTCACAGCTATAAAAAAAAAAGCAATCCTTCAAAACACATTTGCATATGTTAAGTTACAAGCTGCAGCTTACATGCACAAGGTGGCTGCTGAAGTCAGTGTGACAGCTCACATATTTAAAGACATCTGACTGTGTAAAACATTCACAGAATTAGGTTGCTGAGGTACAAATCACATTTGAGACCTTCAGGTTTAGTTCATGGGAGCAAACAAGAACATCCACAGAGTAATTCAGAACCAAATTCAGTCTCCTGCTCAGAACTCCTTTTAAAATTTGTTGTGATAATGAATACTTGTCTTCTGCATTTAGTCGGCCTGTATTCATATTCTTCAATCCTTAAGTTACACAAATGGCAGCAGTGGGTGTTTGTCACACATAGTTATGGCAATGTGTTCACAACTGAAGAATGTCATGCATACTCACATATACATACAACTTAATAGATTAAAAAAGTACCTTTTCTCCTTTCGGACCAGCCACACCAGGTCTACCAGGGTCACCTTTTAGTCCCTGGGCAAAGAAAAGAAATACTTATTTGTTGTGATCTGTGAAAAATGTTGGACTAAATCGTACAGTGCTTTGAATTACTATATACTAAACAGTTAAGCCTTAAAATTCTATCCCATTATTAGCACTATCTCAAAATCCTTCATTTTAATTATTTTGTGGACAGATATCTATCGAAGACCACATGTGTCTTCAACACATAATTAAACATATAAAGCCAGTCTACTTTATTGTGCCCCATTATGGCAAGTAGCAAGTAGAAATGCAAAGTTCCTTTGAAGTCCCAGTAGGTCTGTGTCTTGCATGGCCAACAAAGATAAAACAGAATACTAGACAGTACTAGTACATTCACTTAAACATCTCTAAAATTGGGAAAGAGGCAGAGATGGACAGAGAACTGCAGAGTCCATGTTTCAAGTAGCAATGCTGAGCTGGTGAGCTACAGAAAGGTACAGCTCAGAGCTGCTGCATATCTTCCAACACTCTCATCTTCACCAGTGTTTGAAAAGGCAATTAGAGAAATAATTGATTCTTTCATACTTCCTTCCTTACTTCTGCCTTCAGCTGGAGAAGCAAATACTATTGCCTAGCCTTACACATTACACATGCAGCAACTTCACACTTGCAGGGGCAGAGCGGTTTGGGTTGGAAGAGACACTTAAAGGTCACCTAGTCCAACCTCCCCTATAACCAACAGGGACATCATCAACTGGATCAGGTTGCTCAGACCCCCATCCAACCCAACCTTGAACATTTCCAGGGATGGGGCATCTACAACCTCTCTAAGCAAACTGTTCCAGTTTTCACCATTTTTATTGTAAAGTATTTCCTATTTATACCTATTCTGAATCTACCCCCTACAATATCTATTATACAGCTCTTCTGCTAACAAGTTCTCACCAGAAGCACTCAAAAAAAAAAAAAATCTTTAGCACCCAGCACATAATCTTTGTGGTTTTCTTGCAGCAAAAAAAAAAAAAAAAATGGAAAAGCAAGAGGTTTTGAAATATGCCCAGCAATTTCAACAACAATGCCCAGCAACAATTGAACTTAATTCTCGTGCTGGACAAACCTACCAGGAACTCATTTTTGCGTAAGCCAAGAGCTTTGCTTGTGTCTTCCCTCTGATCACTGCTTTAGCAGCAAGGGACAGGAGACCATGTACAAGTTCAAAGATTTCACTTAGAAATGAAATGGCAACAATGTAGGCAATACAGGACAGAATCATAATGAGATACCACACAACTAGGCCACCATCATTATTATTCTGGAGGTTAAATAGGACAAGGATAGAAAAGATTAATCTACATCTGAATTACGGTTTACAAACTAAAGTTGTTCTTGGCTCCCTTTTTGTCCTTGCAAACTCTCTTCCTCAGTTTGCAATTATTGGAAAGATAGAGACAACTGGCACAAAAATGGTAACTAACATCTGTGCCTTGGTGGGTACAGAAACATTAAATCAGTGAGTGTTCTAAATACTGCGTATTTGTGCAACTTCACTTCCTGCTAAAATTACATTAATTCACCATCTGGAAGGAACATCATTTAGAACTATATGAGCATTTAAGTACCCACTTTGGATTAAATTTGTGGTTGTTGTAAATACCCCTGATTTAGCTTTGATTTGTCCTTTATTAAGCTTGCCAAATACGTAATAGTTAAATCAGAAGTAGTTTTGCTGTTTGAACTTAAAAAATGTGATAGGCAGATGGATTCAAAAACCAAGCCAAAAAATTGCTTTCTTTTTACAATCTGCATATTTATGACATAGCCTTAATATTGTCTCCATTTACTACATTTTACCTTCCACCTCCTTCTCAAAGACTGCATAAAACACAGCCACTCCATATTCTAAAAGCCATTTTAGGGATTTTTCAGGTATGCAAACTTTATGGATTTGATTCAAAATCGATACTAGCAAATCAGCAGTGGAACAATATGCATGAGTTTAAGAATTAGTTCTCAGGCTGTATGTTTACAGAAGAGAAAAGATATCACTAAAAAAATCTGCAACTCACAGGCAGTGATATATATCTGTGTGTCTCTACTGAATAGAAAAGGCAACTGAAAATGAAAGATACTGAGCCTGAGCCATGCACTGTCAAACTATGAACCTCATTTTTCCTAATTGCTGTGTTTAAAGCTTTTAGTAGTGTTCCTGCAGAGCGCCTCGGTGAGGTGTGTAGTCTCACAGCTACTGCAGAGATGATGACCACAGAAACTGACCTCAAATAAAAGAACAAGGGGAAATTACATGTTTGACAACAAGCCTTGCAGTGTTTGAAGGTGGATTTTTAAGGACCCAGGAAGATTTATATATAACGTATTTATTCTATAATACTTGAATTAGCTTTTATTTGCCGTTTAAAACCCCAAGAAAGAAAAGTAGTATCAGAAAAAAATTTCGCTTAGAATGCTATCCCATTAGAAGTATTTCTGGTTCTCCTACACATTACATATACATTTAAAAATATTATAATCTTAATAAATTTCAGACATACTGAATGCTGAAAAAAACACATCTGGGACTGCACTATGCCTATTCTTCCTTAAAGTAACCCTTTGGAAGGTGCTGAGAGGTTTAGCTGCTGCTCACTCTCCAAAATGTCATAAAAATTCCTGTGCTAAGTCAAATGTGTAGCCCCTTCTAGCGCAGTACAGTATGGTATCCTGTCTTTGGCAGACACCAGAACAGAATGCTTCAGTAAAATGAATGTGGTTATCTAAACAGATATAATTTGGATGATTTTAGATTAAAGCTTAAATTAGAAAAGCTTGTTTTCTGCAATATTTTACAAGAACAAGGTCAGTTTTGAAAACTAACAAGTTTCTATCAGTCTGAGTCTCTTATCAGATTTGCCAGGAATTCAAGAACTGCCTAAAAATTCCAGCAGCTCTCATTAACGGAGAGTAAACGAGCTACTGAATTCTATACCAATCTAATTCTACCTTTTTGGGACCAATATAATAATATGCATTTTTGAGTTGATGAACAGTCTTCAGCTGCTATGTTTTCTCCTCTGTAAGGACTGCAGCTTGGTCGTTTTATCGGTCACAATAAAATTACATTATGGTTCCTCTGTGGATGCCAAAATGCAAAGCGAACATTAGAATATATACGTATGAGGCCGATTCAAAGCTAACAAGATAACAACACTGGAAATAGCAGAAGTGAAAAATGTTCTATATATAAATAAAATAAGACAGGTAACTGTAACACAATTATATTGCAAATGTCAATAAGGATATGAAGTCAGAAATATTGGGTCCAGTGGGGGAAAGATTAAACTAGAGGCAGTTTTTTTGGAGGCGATGACAATGGTATTGCTTCTCATGGAATGAAGGAAAAATAGATAAAACAGGTAAAATGTACCATCAGCTGACATCAGGCATTCTTCTCAGTGAAAAAAATGCAAAAGTCAGCTGGACCTCAACCAGAGGACTTCAGCAGTTCCACATGAGCCAAGTGTTGCCCACTGGAACTCCGTCTATTTGTACAGCATATGCCATGCTGCACACATGTGACAATGGAACATGCTGTAAGATTGCCGTAATATTTTTAGGAGAACTGATTTTTCACTCTAAAAGATATCTGTTGGGGAAAACATAATTTGTTGTTTGCAATTCACTGGCCTGCATTAAGAGTAATCTGGTTCAATTTCACATCAGGTTAAAATCTCCTAGAACAATACATATTATCTAATGTACTGGAAATACAGTACACAATCCAACACCCTAAACAATGATGTTTATACATTGTTATAGATCAAATCAGTTTACTGAGTAGTGGAACTTGGAAATACTCTAATGACTAAGAACAGAACTACATTTTCTTCCCAGAGCAGCCTTAAAATCTAAAGATAAAATAGAATTCTACACTAACCACAGCTTCAGAGTCAGCTGTACAACACCAAGTTGTATAAGTTGGGATAACTTTTCTAATTTAGTGAAGTGTTTTCAAAGCTCAAAACTTTTTCAGTTTATCTTTCATGTACTTTAAAACATTGTCATTGCTCTTTTCTCATTAATGTAATTCAAAAACTTCAAATTGGTACACTACTAGAATTTACTGTCCCCTGAGCAATGTCTCCTTATACTTTAGTTCCTAACAGAATTCTCAGACTCTAGAAAGAACAAATATCATTACCAACTTCATCCTTTCAAGCAATAGGATTCTTCCCTTCCTATCCATGTGTTTTCTTGCAATGCTAATGCTAAAAGAGTTCAAGATTAGACAGACAGGCCTTGAGGGTGTGAAGGTAAATAACTGTTACTATCATATCAAGACACTGTATCCCTTTAAAAATGTTCATACTTCTGTTTACCTTTTCCTGCATGTATAAAAATAAAAAGGTCTGATATGCTTTCCATCTTTGATTGAAAACCTGGAATTTTCTTCATTGCTTACTGAACTTTAGAGATCCATCCTTTGACATCAGGTACATAAGGAATAAGAACATTTTATGTAGGAAAATTTTAGAAAAGTCACTTATGGTATTACCTTCTCCAGCAGAAGAAATAAAAATAACTAGTTAAACACTTGGTTTAATGTATATACTAGATTTGAATTTCAGCTTTGGTTTTTTTGGTTGTGGCTGGTTTTTTTCCAATTTACAAGACAGACACTAATTTTCCACTATCTATGCATGACACATGCATGATAAAACTTGATGTTTTCTTTTACTTTTGCTGAAGGACTGAATTTATGTCGGCAAATAGTAATTGGCAGTATCCCATGTTATTCATTCCTACCAGCACCACTGATGAAGAAAATTAGGACTCAAAAAAGCATCTAAAAGTTTCAGCAATAAAGATTTTCTTTTCATTTCAGTTCAACTGGCAAGAATATGAATATAACATAGATCTTACTCCATATATAGTTTCATGGATATTTATATTGCAAATTTGTCCTTATTCCACATGGGATATGAATGTATTTATCAGAGTTTCTTTCAGACAGTGTCTCTATGAGGCTCCACTTGCTGCAGTGATACAAATGACAGCATTATTACAGAATCACAGAATCATTAGGGTTGGAAAAGAACTCCAAGACCATCGAGTCCAACCTTTGACTTATCACCATCTTGTCAGCTAGACCAAAGAATTCATAACTCCTCAATTACAAAAACAGGCAAGTCTCATATCCAAATGTAAGAAAAGATATCTGAAAGAGTGGTGGAGGGAAGCAACATATAAAAAAATTACAGGATTTTAGTGGCAGCAATGTGTCACCTGAGTGTAATGTCAAGTGGCTAAAATAGTCTCAAGGGATAAATGAGACATACTACTTAAACTGGCTGTTCATCCCATACAGGCAAATACCTGCTTACAGGTATAATGTGAACATGTAGCACAGGAGGAATATATTAGTAATATGTTATTTATGACTACTCCTTAAGAAACCAAAAACAATGGCAACCACATTAGTAGTATTTACAGTAAGCACTCATGTTGTCAGATGGATTTTGAATGATGTCCCAGACTGGGACACGGCACTATAAATTTTGGCTCAGATTCCTGGCGTGATGAACTGGGAGATGTGCAGAACAGTTAAATATATTCACAGTTCCTGCCTCAAAACCTGACTCTCAGTGAGATTGACCTAGTTAGCACGACCAGTGAGGGATGAGGGAATTAAAACTTTCTAGGTATAGAATCATCATTACAAAAAGCCTAGTCTCCAAATCAGGTCTGGCTTCCCTCTGCCATGCTACTTCATTCTAGAAAGAACTTTCCGTACAGCTAGGAAAACATGAGTAGCAACAGCAAGCAAAACTGTCTGTGACACCTACTTTCCTGATTTTGGTAAAAATACATTCAAATATGTTTCTACCATTTGTGCAAGATAAAATGTTCTGTCATCATCTTAAAGTTCTTCACTCGTGAGGATGGAAATCCTCACTCCCCAGGAAGAGACAACAGCTGCCAGCAGACTTTTAAGTGTTTTCAGGTTTTCTTTATACATCACTGAAGATTAAACCAATGTAAGTAGATTAACTTGATTATTTCAGAAATATCAGATGTTACATTTCTATATACAGAATGAGTTAGAGACACATTGATAGCAACAAAGAGTGAATGATGCACAGTCCTTTAAATTTAATGACTGGCATCTCCATGCACAGTGATAACTGAATCCAAAACACTTTATGTAAGTGTTGTTAAAAAGGAATTATGTGTGGATTCAAATACAATGTTATATTGCCTTGTGCAATTTTACTTCCAAACTGTTTTAATGACAGTTCCCACAATGATAATGTACTGTTTCTTGACACATTGCAATAATTCAATAAATATTTAAAATTATAAATGTTCAGTATTTTTCACTTTCACAGTGCCACTATGTTAAATATGTCCTGGAGTTCATCAGATACTTAGTATACCTTACTCTTTCTAAAAGGTTGATGGAATAAGATCCCATGTAGTAAAGGAGATCATGTAAGACCAACACAGAAATGTCACCAGGGCTATGGAAAGAAACACAGATGTGTTTTTTCCATGCTGTCAGCATATATGTATGCATGACAGAAGTATATGGTTCACCTTTACAGACAGGCAGGCTACAAGAGAACATCACTTTGAATATCTAAATGTAGTTTCAGCTTAGTACATAGTATACATTTTCATATGAAAGACATACACTATTACTTAAAAATAGACCAATTTATCTAGCATTACATTATAATAAAGCAAAAATAGGAAAAATATTTTTATGGTTACAGTGTGAATTAAAAGCCAGGTGATGTAAAATTTCATAATTACGTAGTCTGTTTTACTGCATTTTCAGCAGACCTGGCTAGATTGCTGTAGTATTTTTGTGTCAGATGCTGACCCTTTCACCCTTTTGCTAAAGTTGCTTTAAAAGGTACTGCTGAATAATTTTTCCAAATCCTGTGTCTGGATTCTAATCCTAATGTGAGTCATTCCCCATCTGTAAGATGCTCTCAGCCTTCAATTGCAATGGTTTGCAACTGGAGAGCAAACAGTATCCTTCATTGAAACTTAAAGCCAGGGTGACCTCCAGGAAGGTCAAGAGGGAGACTGGAGGGGAAGAGGGGATAAAAATCACAGCTTGCTGGACTTTATTGTTATGTTTTTAAAAAAATCTTCTTTTGAAATCATGCTAATTGACCATTTTAGTATTGTACTGAAAAAAAAAATCTGATTTTCTGGCCTCTCATCTTGGTCTCACATATACAAAAATAAATGAAAAATTAAAAATAAAATAGGCAAAAGTAAGGTTTCCTAGTGGGCATATCTAAGCTCATGTAAGCTCATGTTCAAGCTTGAGTGTGAACTCAGTGATCAGGATTATCCAGTATTTTTAGACACAGACTCAAGCTTTAACTTAAATATGGACCAGTCCAGTTAACTAAGTAGGCAGCAAAATGTGGCAGTGAAAATTAAAAGTGAAATTTTGACTTTAGCACACAAGACACAAGCCACAGTGAGTGACTCAAGGCTCTCACCCATGAACAGCTAACAACTTCTCTATTTTCCTTTACAGAAAGCAAAGTTACAGGTCTAGCTTTACCCTGCCTCCCAAAGTACCCTCTTTTCCAACACATTATCTAACCAGTAATGATTCTCATTTATATTATATTGCTTCAATCCCCACACTTGTTTCAGTTTATTTCCTGAGCCCTCAGCAGAAATATAATGGAATATAACAGATCCTTGCCCACAGCTCTCCTGTCCAACATTAAGCCCTAAGAACTGCTATCTCACATGAATGTATCTCTTCTTCTTTCCCTATTATCTTGTGGATGTTAAATCTCCAGGTACATAATTTCTAAATCCCTCTCCTTACATAAATTCTGAATCACATTGCTTAACTGTCCACCCAAAAGTTTGTAACTTGACTGTTTCATTATCATGCGATTTACCTCTGTTCCATGCATGCCTTCTGGTCCTGGTTCTCCTTTATCTCCTTTTTCACCCTAAAAGAATGAATAGTTATTCATTATATATACACAAGGCAAATACTAATTCATGATGCTTTTTAACAGGAACAATATTTTACTGTTTTTTTCTGTTCTACATGAAGTGCCTGTAACAAATGTGGATAGAGCCTTCCCAAATCTTCGTTCACGAAGCCCAGCCATGATGATGATGACATGAAGTGCTATATATGCATTGCTGGATGCATAGGCAAAATTATTTCTTAAATTCCAACAGAAATTCTTTTTAAATAAATGCCTCTGAAAAATGTCTAACACTCTGATAGCTACAGTTTTCTATACTTCATAGTGTTATTGAACACCCATAAAGACTCACAACAGAAAAACATTCTTGATTCTTGCTGTATTTCAAGAACATGGTGATGAAACAGAACATAAAAACAGGGAACAGTTTTATTTTTGAAAATCTTAATATTAATATTACATTATTTTTTTAACTCTGAGACTCTTTTTTAATAAAAAATTCTTGTTTTAAGTATCTGATAAAAAACATGTCCTCAATATTATCATTTGTCTTTGACTTTGAAAAATGTAAACAACTTTTGTTCTGAAAATTTTCTCCAAGCATGACAATTACCAACATTATTAATCAAAATTTAAAAAATGATGGGAAGGATCCTCCAGAATAGACTATAGCTGGTTAATGTGTTTGCTCATAAAATACTGACTACAAAACAGAGTATTCTTGTAGGATACATGACAGAATTCAGTTCTGTATTAATTCTAACTACTATGCTATTCTAGCTAACACATATTTCATCCCAGTGAACAAAATACACCTGCTAAAGAAGCATAATTTAAGAGAAAATGTCTTCAAGAACCAACAAGCTTAAGCAGTTCTATAATTGCATCTCTTTCACTCAACTGAACTTTGTCAAATAACAGTAACTAATCATAAAGTAACAGGATTCTATAATTCTGATAGAAGTGCAAGGACTGACTTCATTAGAGTCCAAGCTCTTCATATAAACCAAAGAAAACAAACAGCCCTGCACTGAATTTTCATTATCTCCAGGGGACTCCATTTGTCTGAGCAGAATCTATTCATTACATCAGCATCATCTTCATAATTCTGTTAGGTAAATGGTATTGAACTGAGATCATTCAGCTAACTCCATTTGTGACACAGCCCTGATTCAGAGCAATTCCTCCAGTGGCAATGACAGAGGGCATTTCATCTAATAATCAGTTTTGCAAAATGAGTTTGTATGAGCTTTGTCAAACAACTGAAGACTACTAACAAATTAGCAGCGACTAACCGTGAATTTAATAATCCCACTCAAAAGATGGCTTTGCTGGTTCAGTGTTTCCATTTTAATACATCTTGTTGATAACAAACTTAATGCTACACATTAGCCTGAATCATACTGTTATGGTTTTTCTTCAAGTATTCCCTTTCTTGTTTGTCAAAAATCCCCCAGAAAAACCCACCAGATAAATTTGTGCATTTATTGCAGAAATTTAAATGACACCAAACAGTGATAGGAATTTAACACTTATTATTTTACTATGTTTAAACTAAAAAGTCCTCTTTGTTCTATGGATTAGGGCACTTTCACTGTCAGTTTAAAAAAAACAGTTGAAGTCCCAAGGGTACTATTCTTTTTTAGCTCACTTAAACTTTTAGAACAAACTGCAAAAATGACATTTTACTTTTCATCACTGTGACATACTGAACATTTAATACTGCTTTCAGGATATTTCAACTAGTATCAGTTACACTGCTACAATCTTGCAATAGCTATAAAGATGCATTCATATATTTGACATAATATCTTATGAGAATATATTTCTAGAAGATTTAAAAAATCATTGCTATTTATGGAGTTTTTTTTTCTTCTATGGCTTGTGTATCTGCTTTCACACTTTAAGAGAAAATGATACAAATATGTACAGATTTGCTTCAGTTGTAGTAGCATTCTATAAATTCCCTGATGTATAGTTGGACACCTAAGGTAAAAGTACCATGTCATATTTTGTTATGCAACATCTACATTTACATAAAAAGCTAAACAGAGAGCCTAAGCCAAAAGAAAACCATCCCCTCACCCTCACTTATCATGTGCCTCGATGTTAGAGGAGCAGTGTGTGTTGGAGAATGTGCCTTTGTCTTCTACAGCAGGCAGACGGTAACCTCAAAATGCCATCAGGTAGTTCTAGACACATACAAGTGTGGCTGGTGAATGCAGGGAAGGAAAAAACCCCTTCCTTATGATTTCCAAGATATCTGGATTTAAGATGTTTATCAATTTCTTTGACAAAATGATAAAAAGCACCCCCTGTTTATGAGCCTTGGACCTCTGCAGAGTCCCTGGCTTTCTGCCAGTATGTGATTTTACTATGAACATATTCTGATTTTTTAATGGAGTACATGATTTGTCCTTGCCAAGCCTGTTGTATGGAATGTCCGTGCTCTCTGTGAAGACAGAATTCAAACCAAAGAGAGGTCCAATTTTTACAATTTATTCTCAGGAGAACTGAGCCAAGTCATGCTCATTTTTGTCTTTATGGAGCACACTATACTGCATAATTAACAGCTTCAAATCTAGCCGATTTGCAGAGTTGCTGAAGCCACTCTGCAGTGTAGAGGAGGCTGTTAATAATCAACGTTGTGGCTTACCCCATAGATTAACAAAAAAGAGAGAAAAATGCTTTAATGCCATTTTATATCTAATGTTCGTGCCTGCTTATACTTTATTCAGATGACAGAATTAAAGACTATTTATTGCATAAACAGGGTGACAAAACTCTCAAAGTGTCAAGCCTTGTTTATCAGTTAACCAAAACTAACCCAACGTAACACAGAATTATTTGTATTTCTTTGGGTGAATTCTGCATTCCATTACCCTGACGGAACAAGCCGATGGGGTTGCTCCAGAATAACTGCTGGGAGGGATTCAGTCTGCTGTGTGTAATAGTAGATACACTGAATTCAGTGGTAGCATTCTTTAATTAGAGCCAGGGGTTCCTGCACGGCCTCTGCAAGACGACAGTACCAGCCTCCAACCCACTCATCCACTTTAAGGTTGCCTCATTTTCCTTGCACACTGTTCCCCCCTTATTATAAAGGCAAAGTAATTTATTTGGAAATAAAATACATTCATACCTAAAAATTGACCTAAAAAGGTAAAGCTTTTTCTGCAACGCTGCTCTGTTAATGATACAAATCAGGAATTCCTGTCATAATTTGTTTGAAGAATTGGAGTGTCATTGTTAACACTAGCTGAATTACTTTCCAAAGTATGCATGCTATACAGTATCACTAACTCAGTAGTGTAATTACCTTGTAATTTTTAACCTCTGAAACTCCATGATTTCACCTTCATGTTTAAGACTAGTTATGACCTCTTTTTTTTTAAATACTTTTCTGTGTTATGCTACAGCTCTGTCTCAGCGGAATGCTCTACATGAATTTTATTTTCTCATGACCGTTTCTCCATGACTTTTAAACTGATCTCAGCTTTTAGTAATGCTCATTGGTTTTTCTTGAGTAAGCTAGGAAATTAAAAAAAATCCCCATCTCCAGTTAAAAAAAACCCAAACAAACCCTACGTTTCTTTCTGATTTTGCTGATAGTCTGGAGAGCTGGTATTATGAAGAGTTAGACCTCAATAATATTCTTATTGCCTGACCTTTAAACCTTCTGCGGAATGTGAGATGGTACACTCTAGGAGAGTGGCAATACACAGGGTGAAGCACCTCAAGACTGCTGAGACACTGTACATTTAAAAGGAGTGGAAAGCAAGGAGGACTAATGACTTTATTTCAGTTCAGACTAGGAGGAACTATGCAAGGAAACGTAAGAGGGATGCAACAGGGATGCGAGAAGCTCATTTCCAAGTAGGCTGTAACATAAGAGTATTTCCTAAGCAGGGTCAGAGAAAGACAGCATAATACATTGCAGAAATACACTTCTATTTCTAGTAAACTAAAATCAACAGTGATGATTTGGAAGGATGCCACCATGAAGCCTGTGCCTTCCCAAACCCACCTATTTAGGATACTCAGACACAACAAGAAATCTGATGATCAAAAAGCTTCATAGGGATCAGGAATTCAGAGGGCTCAGTAGATACACTTACCAAGAAACAAAGACCAAAGACCTTCTAATTCCAAACTGTGCAGTTGTCGTCTTATGAAAGAGCCCTAAACAAATGTTATGCCTGAACATAGTGGATAATGTGTCTTTCCTTCCTTTTGCTTACACAGACTGAGCAATACTGAAGATGTTCATGATAGCTAATTAGTGCTTAGTCACATTTCTAAGAAAGCTCTAAGCATTTCTAACCAGAGAAGCGATATAAAGGCAAACTGCCACCTCAGCTGAGGCCAAAACCTTAGGCACAGAACTATCTGAAGCTACGCCAGCCCGAGGCTCCAAAGCTGCACTGATGAACTGCCTCCTGTCAGCAGGAATAAGGCATCCATTCATTTTCATTCTTAGTAGAAAAAACTTAAAATGCAAAATTATTTTGATCAATAAAAACAACAATTAAAAAAAACCAACCAACCAAACAAACAAAAAACCCAAAAAACCAAACCCCAAACCAAATGAAAAAACCAAGTCCAATAAAAGTTTCAGTGTAGTGCTCTCCAAATGGAGAAATCCAATGCACTAACAACGAGAATAACCCATGCAGCACTGTCGCAGAAAAGTATTTGGGGACTATCATAGATCATATGATACATGGGGATCTGTAACACAAAGTTGTTTTTAAAAGGCTAAACTCCATTCTCCATTTGCCAAACACAAGCTGAAAAGAACCCAGTTATTCTGGATTCCTCGCCACTGACGAGAACAGTGAGAAACAACATCTAGTTTAGGGTATTATCTTTTTCATGGACTTTTGTCAACTTTAAGTATCCGCTCTTCTCCAAATCAGAATGATAGAAAGGTTGCAAAAAAGTTAGGAGTAAAGAATGAACATAGGACATGCTAGTGGATCTCAAATATGGGAAAGAAGATTATAAATAGGACA